CGTGGAGAGGAGCGCGATGCAGAAGGCCAGTCCCGGTTCCTATCTCACAGCAGGAGGCGGAGGCAATGGGGAGGGGGTGGCCGAAAAGAGTAAGCAAGACCACCGTGAGGCGAGCGTCCACCATGCTGGGCGCAGGCTCTCCAACTGCACGGGCGAGGACTGCCCGGAGCTCGCCAGCGCTTGGCCGCCCCTTCCCCGCGCACTTGTGGGCATCGTGCGCGTCTTTGTTGGCCCAACGGAGGAGGAGGAGGAGGAGGGGAGGAGGAGGAGGAGGAGGAGGAGGAGGAGGAGGAGGAGGAGGAGGAGGAGGAGGGAGGAGGGAGGAGGAAGAGGGAGGAGGATAAGTAGTAGGGGGGAGAGAAGGAGGGAGGAGGGAGGAGGAGGAGGAGAAAGAGGGGAGGAGGAGGAGGAGGAGGAGGAGGAGGAAGGAGGAGGAGGAGAGCGCGGAGGAGGAGGAGGAGGAGGAGGAGGAGGAGGAGAAGGAGGAGGAGGAGGAGGAGGAGGAGCAGGAGGAGCAGGAGCAGGAGGAGCAGGAGGAGCTCCTCGAGGGCCCCCGTCGAGAAAACGCGCACGTGTTCGAGCGCTGCCAAGGACCGGCGCGCGCAGCGCAAAGGGCTAATCGCGCCGAGGGCGGCGGGAGGAACTGTGCCCTCTCCGAGCCGCGGGGGGGCGGCCGGGGCCCGCGGCCCGCGCAGGAGCGGCCACCGCGCGCACTGCTGAAGGGGCCCCAGGACACACAAATAAATACACACAAATAAAATAATTCCCCATATTTTCCCATATTTTCTGGCTTTTTGTCTTCCCCCCCACTTCCCATATTTTCCCATATTTTCCTGGGAATCGACGATTAATTGTGTCTGTGTGTTTCTTTCCCTCCTGAACTGCCGCGGGAACTTTTTCCGTTCGCGAGCGCAAAACGGAGGGGCCGCGCGCCGTCCAAAGCTGCAGCTAACGAGCAGGAGCCTAACTTGCACACGAGAGAGGGAGAGAGAGAGAGAGAGAGAGAGAGAGAGATACAGCAAGAGAGCCGCGGCGCACCGCGCGGCGAGGCCAGGCGGAACCCCGCCAAGTGCGCGCCCGGAGGGCAAAGGGCGGGACAGAAGCAGCACAGGGAGAAGGGCGGAGCGCGAATCGATGTGGGGGGGGGCGAGGAAGGGGGGGGGGAGCAAGGTGCCTCCTCGGGCCCCAGAGGCCCCCTCCTGGGGCCCGCAGGGGCCCCCCTGGTCGGCAGCCCTCGCTGCCCCCCCCCCCATAGGATCCGCCCCCCCCCCCCCCCCCCCCCCCCACCCCTCTCGCTGCCCCCCCTCCTGCCCCCCCCCCCCCTCGCCCCATAGGATCGCCCCCCCCCTCCTCCCCCCCCCCCCCCCCCCCTCGCCCCATAGGATCGCCCCCCCCTCGCCCCCCCCCCCCCCCCCCCATAGGATCGCCCCCCCAGATCGGCTACACGCAAGAGTGGTGACTGGGTAAGAGTGACCTCTGGTGCGCGGCTTCTGGGGGGCCGAGGGGGGACCAGACCTGGGCGCGCAGGCCGCTGCTCCTGCCGCGTCCTCGGCCCTCTGGGGACCCATCTTGTGCCCGCACGAAAGGTCACTCCGGCGAAGGGTCACTCTTGCGTCTAGCCGACGAGACGGAGGAGCGGCACGGAGAAGCCAGCAGGCCGGCTGGCACACACGCCGCACATCACGCGCGCCACGGGCCGCTGCCCTGGGCGGCGGGCCCCCATGGCCGCGAGGCCGGCGGCGACCCGGCTGCGGCGAGGCACGCGCGGGACGGGCCCGGCGTGGTGACGCAGGCGCTGCTGGTCCCAATCGCCCCGCTGCCAAGGCTTCGGCACTGCGAAGGGCCAAGTCTGATACGTCACCCCGCGGCGCGGAATCCCCGCCCACCACGGCCATCATCGTTAGCCTCCGCACGGGCAGGGCACCTATGGTGGCGTCACTCTGGGCAACCTGCCAGGCTCAGACACGAAACAGGTGTCCTCATGATGTGACTGCTGCTGGCTTCGTGATGGCCACAGCACGCAACATATATATACTCTCGAGGGCTACGGCGCACGAAAGAAGGACAACCAATCATATGAACTCGCTAGACCTGTCGCTTCAAGGAGATCCTCAGAGTGAAGGGGCCGAGCGATCTTGCACTGCGAATGGGAGCCCGCGAAGATGCGATTCAACGACATGGAGGGCATACGCCCAAATACTTTGCTCAAGTATAAAAGGACAAGGGCGAGTTGATGGTGATAATGAGGATGAGGACGAGGATGACGAGATAAGGAGGAGGATCAGAACGAACATGATGACGAGGAGGAGGAGGAGGAGGAGAACGACGGGGACCATATGGAAGCCCAGATGCATCAACGATGCTGTCATACATCCTCCTGCCCCAAGTCTTTTTCTCGCAAGTCCCTACACATGTTCCTTTCCAATGCGGAAGACGCCCCCCCCCCAGCGAGATCTGCTACTTGTGAAAGGATCCACCTCTCTATCCTTTTGGATAAAAAATGCGCAAAGAAACAAGATCAAACAACTCAATACAATGTCTAGTGATTGCACCGTTTTGAACCGGATCTGCCCTCCGTGCGTGTACGTATTTCAAAATTCAAAACCTATGGTCGTAACGTGTGCGGGGGTCTCAAGCGAGAAACGTATTCTGAAAAAGAGCTATCCTGAAACCGTGTAGCCGTTGCGGCACCTGTAACGCCGGTCGTAAAACTTGAAACTATGTCAACAGAGAGCCGCATTTTGAAACAGAACCGGCCTATATCCTTGTAACTGTTCGAAGCTTTTGAAACGATTGCGAGCGGCTCTACGGCGAGAGCCACGTGTGAACCTTCCCCTCATCGGTGGAACTGTTGGATTTGCGAAGACGAGGGCGCGCGGCGCAAAGGTGGCGGCCGCACATTGAAACTACATGGCCCCGCATCCTGGAAGCTTCTGGAATGTGGGCGGCGCCACAGCGAGTGCCGCATTGCGGAAACCACTGGCCGGCCCTCAATCTTGCTGCCGTTGACGTCAAAGCCTCTGGAGGGGAAGTCGCCAGGGAGTCTCAAGCGACACGCACAGTCTGTCGCTGCAACAGGTGTGTGTGTGTGTGTGCGGGTCATCTATGTGGGAGGGGGACGGGAGCTGTGCGAGGTGGGAGGCGCCCGGGCGAGTGATCCCATCCGGCGGCCTCAAGATGCGATGCGTCGCTTGCTTTCTCTTGCTGCTCTTTGGACGCCCGAAATGGGCACGGAAAACATGGGTGCAATGCCCCAACAACAAGTACTGTCCCAAACCAACAGCGGCCGCTGCTGGGCAGGCGGCCCTCTGTGTCAAATGGACACGGGCCGCGGCTGCGCGGATAGCGAGTGCTGTTCAGAATGAACAGGAACTGCTGTTTTGAGCAGGGGCGACCGTCCAGGCAGTCCTATAGTCCTACCACGAATGTTCTTAGAACCCAAGAATGTTCTAAGAACACAAGCGATGCTCTTAGAACATGAACCCGATGTGCTGAAACAAGACAGACGCAACCAGAAATGTTCTAAGAACACGTCGTGCAAACCGCAAAAAGGTTCTTGGAACATTTTTTGGTGGGCCCATCGGCGAGCCAAGGCGCTGCGCCACTGCTTGAGTTGGGCAGTGTACCCGTTCTTTCCGTACCCGTTCCGCTCGTGCCGATCCTCCCCCGTGGCTAAAACAGAGCTAGGATCGGGATAAAAGCGCTCTCAGAGCGTTCCGGAGCTGGAGGATCGGAGATAAATCGCTCCAGAGCGTTCCGGAGCGCTCTCAGAGCGTTCCGGAACGCTCTGGAGCGGCCGCGGCGCCCAATACATCCTCCACACCCGCCGATTCTCAGAGATTTCGAGCTATCCCGATCCGATTTCGTCCCGATCTTCACGTCGTTTTAGCCGTGCCCTCGCGTTGAGCTCCCCGGCGGGACAGCGCCCCGGCCCGGGCCGCGCAGAGCGCGCGCAGCTCTCTGCGCGCCTCGGCGGGTGAGCCCGGCTCGGCGCGCCTCCTCCTCGGCATCGGGCCGGCAACTCTCTTCAGCCTGGCCTTCTGCTGCGGGGCGGGGATTTCGCTGGTTAAGGCCCCCCCCCTATCTCGCCAGGGGGGGCCTTAACCAGCGAAATAGGTGGTCTTAACCGCTCCGCGATCGATCGCGGAACGGTTAAGACCCCCTATCGCGAGGGGGGGGGTCTTAACCAGGATCCGATCGATCGCGCAACGGTGAAGACCCCCTCCTCTCGCCAGGGAACCGACGTCCTGGGGCCCCAACACGGGCGGTGGGTGTGGACACACTCTGGCCCCCGGGGGCCCGAATCTGTTCACATCCCCCGCCTGCCGAGCTCCCCGAAGATTGATCGTCCAGGCGGTGGTCGCGTATCGATTCCCGGACTTTTTATTTGGCGGCGCGCACAAGGGGGTAATTAGGGGGAGGGGGGAAGGCTTCTTAGAAGGAGGCTGCTTCTTAGAAGGCGCCGGCCTTACATCTACAAAGAAGGCCCGCGCCTTCTAAGAAGCAGGGGTGCTTCTAAGAAGCCTTTCCCTCTCCCCCTACCCCCTTCTGCGCGTGGCCAGTTTATGCTGCTCCCATCGTGCTTAAGGACCACGTCCCAGACATAATTTCGAGCACCCAGAAGAATATCGAAGCAATGTCGAACGAGCATCGCCTCTCGGGGCCCGACACGCGAAAGCCCTCAGGTTTCGGCACTGTCTTGCTGCTCGAAGTCCTCTCTGGTGATCAAGGCAAAAGTAGGTTGGAGCATCACAGGCCTGGCTGCGAACGCTCTCCCTTGCTCTGCCTTGCCAGAACGAGCGACCAGCACCGTGTGCACAGTGAGCCGCGGGCGCTGCGAGCGAGCTACAGAGCCTCAGAGTGATCCCGCGCGCGCAGCAGGCATCCCAGAACGACTACGCTTACA